AGATAAAAAGGAGCAGTTTTATTTACACATTTGAAACACATGACGCAGATTTTAAATATTATTCGTTCTTTTACAGGGAGCCAATGCAGCAAATAGCTCGCTCGCTCTATCTAACATGGAAACGAGTCGACATTGCTGCTTCCACAGTGCACACTTTATTTTCGTAAGCTATTAAGTTTACTTTTGCGAAATTAAAATGTTCGCTAAAGTAAAGCGGTCTACAGTATCGCATCTTGCCTCTTCAGCGACGTCGTTAAACCCCTAACAAGCAACCAACACGTTCTATTATTTCATCGAGGTGGCACCATCCCCCCCTTTCATTTATATAATATGTTGTAGGTCTACACTTTTCACCCAAGGAAGGTGGAAGGTGCACTCTGATGCCCCACTAAAACTTTGAATAAGTCACTGAAGATCAGGCCTTCTGTAATAAGTATTGAAATTTAGAAGATAGCTTGCAGTTTACATGCCATTTCGTATTCCCACCTCAAAGCCAAGGTAGGCCTATGCGATACAACGTGAGAGACCATGAATTATATCAAATTCACATGTTGTGGAAAAACATTGCCGATTTGGGTTTTTTATGTGATATCACTGTCATGAAATCAAATCATGTGGGTCACTGTCAAGTCAGTCATATCAACGCTAGGTCTACGATAGGCCTAGATCTAGATAATGAAATATCCCAATATAACCCATAATAAGTTTACTGGCGGACCTATTTGATGTAGATCCAATCTAGATCTAACGACAAAACATAATATAAATGAATTTGAAAAAAAAATTAAGATTGAAAAGTAGCCTAACCTTATCCGGAAGTTCAAACAGGGCCCTACAGGCTTAACATTGTTACTTTTTTTTTATTCATTAGAGAACGTAGACAGCTTGTATAATTTCTCTAACGTTAGAGAACGTAGACACTTCCGTTATAAATTACTGATTGGTCCAAAGAGAAAAACAAGTCGTGAAAATGCGCCTAATTTTTTTTCCACGACATGTCGAGAAAATACCGGATGCCTTTCAACTTATAGGATATGGTGTCCACAATTATACAGGTAGGCTGCAACGAAAAAAAATGTTTTGGAAGAAAAAAACAACCTACAAACAAATACAAAAAAACAACAACAACAACACCCGGGCTCTTCATCGAGGTTAAACTTTTTAATTAATGTAGCCTTTTTTTCCAGTAACCCGTGCTTATAGATCCAAAGCGAAATAAAAAAACATCTATAAATAATTAATAACTTTTCCCTAAGAGACACGGTTGCTCTTGACCCAGAGCGACCAATAATCATTTTACACCTCAATGAACTTATTGGAGCATATGTTATAACACCAGAACTGATGTTTGCTGATATTACAAAGTTATAATTTATACCGACTAGAATCTACTGTCGTCAGCAGGAGCTTTAAAACAACAATAATTAATTAGTTTGTCATGACGCCGAATATAGATCTAGGCGTATGTGCCCCCTTCCCCCCCCCCCCCCCCCCCGAAAAAAAGGCAGAAATAAACACAATCAAACCAAAAACCAAAACCAAAACCAAAACTTGTATTTATTAAAACACCCCAACCAATTAAGCGAACAGGGAAATTACGGTATAATTATAAAGGCCCTATATATACACAGCGTTTACGAATCAAAACGACGAGAAGAAAGAAACCATTTTTTGAAGGAGGAGGGTGAAATAGTGATATTATACCACAAGAACAGCCAGATCAAACACCACAAGACTTAAAAGATCCAACTTCATCAAAGAAAGCAGAAAAATCCAAAGATCCCTACAGGACCATAATCTACCAGCCACAGTGAACATGCTGAACCATACCCCAGAGGCACCATCATGGGAAAAGAAAAACAAACATAATTATACACACGGCTATTTCTATGTTCACCACAAAAGATGACCACAACGACCTGAGCAAGAAGTCCGCTTCATCCTGTCCATGCTTGAACAAAGATATCCACGAGAAGCATGGATAAGGACCTATACAGACGGATCTGCCACTAATGCCGTGGAAAGAGGAGGAGCCGGAGTGTATGTACAGTTCCCAAATTGGACGACGACAAGCAGAGGCAGTCCCCACAGGGCGACATTGTACAAACAACAGGGCAGAGACGGAGACTCTAATACATGCAGCAAGCATCATCAAGAATGTGGTAGACCCCCAGAGCCAAAGTAGTATTCCTATCAGATGCCATGTTAGTACTGCTGGCAATCACTGCCAGCAAACTACCAAGGCTACGAAAAGTAATTGAGGACATCCCATGTCTGAGGATCATAGACTGCAGTGGATTTCATCACACTGTGGTGTCTTAGGAAATGAGCAGGCAGACAGGATGGCCAAACCAAGAGCACAGAAAGAGCAACCAGACAAGCGTTAACTACACAGAAATAAAAACTAGTACATAAATACACTATCTAAAGCACCTCAGACACCATTGCAGATAGCTACAATATGGAGCTGTCCCGCCAAGAACAAGTGATTATCTTCGGACTAAGGACACAACTCACAAGACTGAGACAACACATGTACAGATGTTTTAAACTAGTCCAATCACCAAAATGCCAGTGGGTAGAGGCGCACCAAACTGTTGAACACATCCTTCAGCACTGCAAGACACACAGGGTCCTGAGACAGGAAACGTGGCCAACCCCCATGACGATACAAGAGAAGCTATACGGGCCGACAGATGAACTGAGCAGCGACGGCCCAATTTATGACAGATACCAGACTTCATCAAGTGTGATGCGATCGGGAAGAAGAAAAGAAGAAGTGATATTATATATCCCTATTAAGTTGAGTCAGTTATACATTGGATACATATTGTGTATCATGTATTCTCAGTCTGCGAGTGTTACAAGGTCGAAAGAGGATTATCAATAAAAAGCAACCCAAGATTTTTCTTATTTAAAGATCTGAGCTTCTGAGTTCTGCATGGATGTTGCTGTTATTTGAAGATCGGCTCAGAAACAAGTGTAGAGTTATATAATAGCAGTCCGAATTATTCGCAAAATGATTTTATTTTTATTTGTCTGTTAAGTTTGTTGTTCTCTTTTAACGCATCAGTTGTTCTCTATTGGTACACCATGGTTGTGTGGTATGGAATCCTGAAGATCGGAAGTGGGAGATTTTATCGACGGGCTTCATTTCCATATAAAATAATTATTATGTTTAAAAAAAGAAGCAAATCAGTGATACAGCTCAAGTTGTCTGCTTTACTTAGGCTGTTCTTAAAGTTTAAAATGTAAATTGTTTCACAAAAAATAGTCGGCAAAAAAGACACCATAAACTTTTTAGTAAGGGAAGTCACTCTCTTGACATTTTATTATAAACAATGGAGGGCGAAACCATAAACTGCACCAAAGTCTCGGAGGAGTTAATTATCTGCAATGGAACGGAATATGATCTTCCGGAGAAAGTGCTTACGTACAGAGATGAATGGTTTTGGATTTATATTGGGATCTACACTGCCCTTGTATTATTTGCAGGTAAAATAAAAGTAATTTGATTAGATATCTAAAATCTAGACTCTTTAGCCAACGGTAAACCGCCATCAGTCTTTTCATCAGATCAGCTGTTGCCTGCGCTTTTTCCGGTTCCCATGGGGGCCAGAATGAGAAACACTCAAGCAAACTTTCTGTCTCCCTCTCTTCTTTCTCTGTCTTTGTCTGTCTGTCTGTCTGCCCCCCCCCCCCCCTCCCTCTCTCTCTCTCTCTCTCTCTCTCTCTCTCTCTCTCTCTCTCTCTCTCTCTCTCTCTCTCTCTCTCTCTCTCTCTCTCTCTCTCTCTCTCTCTCTCTCGTGGAGTTCTCTCTCTCTTTCTCTCACATGCGATTAAACGTAGAATGATGACTTGCGGCTAGCCGCAGCCCGTCAGCCAGGCTCTGATTGGCTGCGGTAGGCTAGTGGTGAATATTGTGTTAGGCTTCTATATGATTCCAGTTTTGACAGTTCGGTAACTTCTGAAACAGTACTGTAAGTATATCATGTAGCTTAATAATCTACCCTTGGCTGTTGGAAGTTGAGATGGCCGAATGGACAGCATGACTGCATTTGAAGTCTTAGAGCGTGGGATCAAATCCCGGTCTCGGAAGGTTTTTTTTTTCCCTCCCTCCCTTCTTCTTCTCCTCCCGACTGACCAACAATTTTTTCCCATTAATAATATTTGTTGTTTTATAGTTTTTTATGTGTAGTGATGAAGCATGCCCATTCTGTTTTTTTCCCCAAGGGGAGCTTTTAGCTCTTTTTTGATTATCGCTTCATTTAGCAAAATTGGGAGTGTATACAGACCCGGTAACCGGGAACAAAGTCACGAAGTATACAGACCCGGTAGGGGAAATCTTTTGGGATTTCAGAAAGTTTCAGCGCCCTCTTAGCTCAGGGTAGACCTACCTAGTACCTAGGTTCTTCTTGATCTCTGGCCTAGGTTTACATCTAGACAGTTTGAGTTAGTAGACAGACAGACATAAATCATAGATCTAGTTTCGAGGCCTAGATCTAGATCTAAATGAAGACTGCGAATGTCTTTTCGATGAACCATCGTTTTTCCTCCGTTTTGGAGTTGGAGGAATCAATTAGACAATTTGAAGAAAAGAACAATGTCATAATTTCTATCGAGCAGTTACCCTCTCTATTTCTCTGTCTCTCTCCCCTCTTTTTTGCCTGCCTCTCTCTCTCTCTATGTATCGCTTGTCTTCTCTTTCTCTTTGTTTGTCTCTGTCTTTCTTTCTCCCCCGCCTACTTCCCCGCTCTATCTTGCTCTTGTTCCTTCCTGTCAACTGGGACATATGATATTTGCTAGCACTTCCCCCTGTTCTCTACCACCTCCTCTCTCTCTCTCTCTCTCTCTCTCTCTCTCTCTCTCTCTCTCTCTCTCTCTCTCTCTCTCTCTCTCTCTCTCTCTCTCTCTCTCTCTCACACAGACACACACACACACACACACACACACTATACCGGGTCAGGGCACTGAAACTTTCCGAAATCACAAAAGATTTCCCGTACCGGGTCTGTATACTTCGTGACTTTGTTCCCAGTTACCGGGTCTGTATACACTTCGTTAGCAATAGGCTAAGTGTTAGGTTGCAGCCTTACGTCTGCAAATAATTCATCAGATTGGTAAGTGATATAATCTTAAGATGAATTGAAATCTCTCTCGCTCTTTCTCTCTCTTTCTCTTTCTCTCTCTCTCTCTCTCTCCCTCTCTCCCTCTCTCCCTCTCTCTCTCTCTCTCTCTCTCTCTCTCTCTCTCTCTCTCTCTCTCACACACACACACACACACACACACACACACACACACACACATGTTGGGCCAGCCTTTCTTTGAATTTTAATTGGTGCTGTTTACAAAATAATGATGAGTTATGGCCTGAATGAGCGGTGATTTCGGTTAGAGATGAGGGAAAGCAATACTTGACAGGTACAGGGGAGAAACAATGAGTGAGATAGCGCTTTATTATCATTAATAGGCTGAGGAACCCAACAGTAACAACACTAAGCTAACAATTAAGACTGTAGTATTTGCGCATCAATACAGTTTGTAAACTTTTATCCTATTTTTAAAAAACAAAGAGTAGGCCCTACTATTTTAATTACCTTTTCAATAGTTAAAACCAGGGGGGGGGGGGGGGGGTTGTACTTAAAAAGGTAACAAAATTACTGTCCTCAATAATCCATAGAGACAAAGGAATCATTGTAAGTAATCAGTAAAAAAGCTGATTTTATTGACTCTCTTTTGCTCTCTATATATAATGTTCTTGTGTGAAGGCCTTGGCTATCTTAAGTGAAGGCCTTTTACCTATATAGATGCTTTCTAGACCTAACTAAGACAACGTGGTCCTTTACGTTCACCATAACACATATAATGCAAGCTAGTAACGGCACTCCCCTTGAATCATGCAATCATTGTATCAAATTCAATACTTTGTGGTATGTTAACGAATCCTTTCAGCAGGATCTTAACATTTACTCTCCTGTCAATTATTCTGTTACTCGGCAAGACAACTAGGTTTGTTTTTTTTTGGTTCATATATATACAGTTCTTATCAGACAGCCCTTCCCCCTCCTTTTTTTCTCGTTCTCTCTCTCTCTCTCTGTCTCTCTCTCTCTCTCTCCCTCTCTCTCTCTCTCTCCCTCTCTCCCTCTCTCCCTCTCTCTCATTTCTCTCTCTCTCTCACACACACACACACACACACATACACACACACAACATACACACACACACACACACACACACACACACACTCTCTCTCTCTTTCTCTCTCTCTCTCTCTCTTTCTCTCTCTCTCTCTCTCTCTCTTTCTCTCTCTCTCTCTCTCTCTCTCTCTTTCTCTTTCATTCTCTCTGTTTCTCTTTCTCTCTCCTCTCTCTCTCTTTCTCTCTCTCTCTCTCTCTCTCTCTCTCTCTCTCTCTCTCTCTCTCTCTCTTTTACTTGTCCCCTCTTTCTCTCTCTTCTCTCTCTCTCTCTCTCTCTCTCTCTCTCTCTCTCTCTCTCTCTCTCTCTCTCTCTCTCTCTCTCTCTCTCTCTCTCTCTCTCTCTCTCTCTCTCTCTCTCAGTCGGAGTACTTGTGTACTCTGTTACAACCAGCTCTGGTAGTCTGGTTTCAGAGGTAAAATTAACGAGAAAATGGCCGCCAAAGTTTGGTATCTTCTATAGCTTGAGAATCCTTGAAAACTGATGATGTACGTATTTTGTGCTATTAATCAACATTTTTTAGTAAAATTCACATGATGCAAATGTTTTTGTTTTTTAATGGACGTAAAAGGAAGAGCCAGAAAATGACTATAAAAATTGCCAAACTGTCCAGAGGAAAAAAAATGCCTGTTGTTTCTTTGATTGCATTATTTTTACGAGCATCTGATTTCTCCACGATGCCTCACGTTTCCGTTTCCTTACTGTGTATGATTTAGTGTTCGTAAAGGTTTGTCTGTAAGTATTGCCTGTAAGTATATGCAAACATGTTTTTCTTTAGCTCAAACAAAGGGAACAAACTGTTCATTCTACTTTTATGGTATTTTTTTCATCCAGGCCTCATGTCAGGGCTCACCATGGGACTCCTCTCGCTGGACATAACCACGCTGATCACCATGAAAGACGGGGGCACACCAAAGGAAAAGAAATACGCGGCAAAGATCTTGCCAGTTGTGAAGAGACACCATTTACTGTTAGTGACTTTATTGCTGGCTAATGCAGGTGCCGTTGAAGCCATGCCCATCTTTTTGGACAGGGTCTCAAATCCAGTCATAGCCATTGTTATCTCGGTTACAGCTGTTCTCATCTTTGGAGAGTAAGTTGGGGGGGGTTTTGGGGTGGTTTTTTTTCTTCTCTTTTCAACCAAACGCTTTTGTGATGCCATTAGTGTTGGATACAGATTGTAGAACAATCAGCATAGACACTCTTGCTGGTTAATTTGTGGTGTCCACTAGGTGTAACATGAACAGTATAATATTATACTTCTTATGACATACATTTTATACAATTGAAAAATACAAATACACTCATGTTAAGCTCCAGACAGATGGATACACTTACCCATGTGTATATACATTCTCTGTACTTAGCTGGATAGGGTGGAGAATGAGAGAGAGAAAGAGACATGGACAAAGTGACAGAGGGAAAGAGAATAAAAGATTCCATGAGAGCTTTTATCTTGGTTAATATACGCAAGCAGATGATACAAATGTACACGCACGCCCTACAAGTACACCTCTCTGTGTTGGTTGGTGCATTGGAAATGCAGAAGAACAGCTTTTCCTGTTAACTGATGCATTGAGGAGAGCGAATCCTGTCCTGTTTTTCTCAGAGATAAAAGACATCACAAACCCCTCTGTCTCCTTCTCCCTCCATTTTTACGCTAGCATATCCATGGCTAGGTCTAGGTTCGCCATATGATGAATACTCAATTTGTAAAATTGGAAGATGTATTGAAGAGAAAATCTGCTAGAAGACATGAAATTAGGTCTGTTTGTTAGACAAGCTATATAATGCCTTTTTAGTTCATTGTAAAGGCATACTTACCCCTCATAATAAATGTGTGGTTCATTCTGCAAAACCCAAGAGAAGTAATTGTTAGACTTGGTCTATTTGCATGATACATCACCTCTGGAGAGTAACACCTTTTTGTAATCATATACTACTTCTCAATGCTCCCCCCCCCCAAAAAAAAATTATTTTAAAAAATAATTAATTAATAAAAAAAAAATAATTAATTAATTAATTAAAAAATTAAAAAATTAATAAAATAAAGGTTGTGCATGTAATGCATTGCTCCTCACTGACTATCAATACTTTAACGCTTTTGAACGTTCACGTTTAAATGACTGCTTTTTACATTCCAAACTAATAATATTATAAAGTTTTCATACGAAAAGATACCCTGGGATTCCATGCAAATAAGTGAGTGGTTGACGGGTGCTCTGGTGTGGTTTGCTTCTTCTTTCCTATCAAACATCTATCGTCCTTTTCTCCCCTTCTTATTTTTTATGTTTGTTACTCTCTTGTAACACATCTAATCTTCTGGCGGTCATATGACCTTAGTTGCGAGCGCCGTAAAACCCTCTACTAAAACAAAAACAAATGCAAATAATATAAGTGTCTTAACTTTGTGTTTTCTTTTTCCAGGGTAGTCCCCCAGGCTATCTGCACCAGATATGGGCTGGCTATAGGCGCTTACTTGGCTCCGTAAGTATGACATTATAGAGGACTTTTCTTCTGTCGCTGTCTTTGACTAAAAGTTGCTTACCTAACTAACTCGGTCAGTTGGCAAGAATGCGCAGAATAGACAATATGGTGTGAATTGTGCTTTCAATTCTAACTTTTGTTTCAGACTTGAAATCATAAATAGTTTGAAATGTTGTGGTCTTTCTGTATGAAATTTTTCTATTGTGCACATTTTTATACTCTGAACAGCTCCTTTTAGCCAGGTGTACTTTTTATTCAGCAGCATCACTTCTCTCTCTATTATTTGACTTTCTCCTAGGCTGAAAAAAAAAAAGAATACAAGCATCTTTGCCTTTGGAATCTTGTGAGCTTGTGGTCTTTTTTATATTATTTATATTATATCGTAATTAACTGTTCTTTTTATACTCCCTTAGAGTCTGTTGTTATCTCCTGTCTGTTGTTTATAGTACTTTATCAACCAAGGGTCAGAAAAATCTCATTCAATTAGCGTTTAGTATCCTATATGTGGAGCTTTCATAAAACTTAGTACACGGCGCACCGGCAGTGGAATTTTAGTTGCCGCGGGGTTCCCCGCCGGGCGCCTTATCACGTCGGGGTCACGGGGGTCAGCTCCCTGTCGTCGCTCTGTCTGGGCTGACTTAATTTTTGGTACTTTTCAACGTACAATTTAAGGTGCATCCTTTTATTTATGGTAATTCTCATTTAGTGCACCCAAAGCACGCATTTCTGCTTTTGAGACTCAAAAAAGAACGGACATTGTAACTTGTCTGGTTATTTCGTAAGACGCGCTGGAGTCGGCAATGCTAAATTGTCATTTTTTTGGGACTAGCGTGAATGAAAAAAAAATCAATATAAAAAAAACGCATCGTCAAAATCTGTCAAACTTTTGGAATATGAACGACATAACATTAGTGCAGATACTCAGAAAAGATGGTATCTGCGCTTATAATAGAAGGCTGTAATTTTGCAATTTTATCCATCGGGCACACAATTCGCTACGAAGTAATTCCTCCAAATACAACTTTATGTGTCTAATATAATCATGAATATTCGCATATTTTCTCAAAAGTTTATAAAAGTTATCATGAAGTTTCTCAATGAAAAGTACAAATCGATTTTAGAGCTAGAATATCTTCAACATAGATCTAATACACGAACAGTATCTGTTACACTCCAGAAATTGCTTACTTTTCTTAAAACGCTAAGTCTAGGTTTTGTAATTTGACTGAATAATAGGGATGACTTCTCGTAATTGGGTTATAAGAATAATTTCTAGCTTTCCAGGGCAGGGACACTGAATCAGCACCAGACTTTTCCAGCTTTTTTTACGTTTCTATGACCATTTGCAATAACTGACAATGTGACTGATTTCTTTACATGCATAATTGTGTCCGCGCATATTTCCTACACAAAAACTAAGAATGAATGTTTTAGCTGTCGTTATTTTTATTCCATACTAAAAGTTTATCTCTACCCATGTATTTACACGGTTTTGTGGTTTTTTAAATCGCTTGTATTATATCTTTTTAGTTGTATGCAGGCTGCCACAGACACAGCATGATTCATGAACAAACGCAGAGTAGCTTTCTCTTGTTTAATAGTAAAATAAGAGCTAACGCTGATCGTCTTTAGTTAAAATATGCAGATGTGCATCTTTCTTCTCTTATAACTTGACTATTACTACTACCGCAGATTTAAGATTTCTCATGGTAAAAGACATGATATTCGTAGTCAGTGTAACACAGAATTTGGAGAGATCTGTCGTGCCTTTTTTAAAATAACAATCATTTATTCATAACTTTGTAACTAAAATAGGATAAATTGGGTACTCTACAAACACTTGTCTAGAACAAAAACTAAGGCACAGAAACTAACCATTCTAACGCAGAATAAATCTCAAGACATTGAGCTTTTAGTATATTTGCGTAATGGTTTACTGTGTGGGATGGGGAAGAAGTTATATCGTTTTAAACATAGTAAAAAATGTGAACTTCCCGACCGACACCGGCAAAGTCACCTCAGGGCTCATTAACCCCGTGACCCCGAGCCGGGGAGCTCCGGCGGGCTGCTGAGTCACGCGAACTAAAAGTAACAGAATCGGGCGAAAAGTGACGCCGTGAGTATGATATATGAAATTGAGATGAAAAGTTTAAGTCTGCTTACAGTGTATTATTGCCAATAGCGATTAGCATTGTGAAGGGAAATTCAATATCACTGTCGGAACCAAGGTGAGATGACTGGCATCTGCTGTGTATGAGGGGCATACCAAAAGTTTTTTACCTGACCATGAAGGCATTATAAAGGTAGAAAGCTGAAACTTGGTAATAAGCTTAGTCTTTCTTTATGTAGTCGCCTCCCGGAGTTATACATGTTTGCCATCTGTGTATGACCTTAAAAAGACCTTGAGAATAGAGGACCCTCTCTACGTCAGAAAACCAGCCCTCTACAGCTTCTTTGACCTCATCATCACATTTTTTACGCCAAAATTTCATCACAGCATAGGATGGGCAATCAGTTCCATATACAGTATGCATCTCCGTAAAGAAATGCTGTAGTTGCTTGCCTTGCAAAAATAAATACTTCATTACTGCCCTGTGCTCAATTTTCTCCATTTTTATGTTGAAACTGGAGAACAACATACCCCGATTCACTTACAGTGCGCTGGTGGTAAAACCAGTAATCTGAAATTCCCCCAAATTTACAAGCATTCTAGGAAGATGATTGTTGGCTTTCACCCCAAATTTCAACTTTTTACCTTTTTATTCCTTTATGGTCAGGTAAAAAAACTTTTGGTATGCCCCTCGTAATTCTTGTTGGTTAGGCTATGTACTTTGAGAGCAGATGACATGGCGTGGGTTTGATTCGTGTACGGGAACATCATTTTGTCAAGTTTCTCTGTGTTTTTTTATACTTACACTATATATCCCACTCAACTGAGGCTGGCCTTAGAAGCTTTCCCCACTGAAACATCTAAACTGTGTGGATGGATGAGGGCCTTAATCATTTGCAATCTTTGTAAAATGAGATACCATTTTTTCTAAATTTAAAAAATTGAGCCTTTTGAAAACTTGTTTACTTTTATCAACCCTTTTCATATCATGAATATTATCAGTACATGGTCAAAAGCTGTAAGCCACCCCCGGGGCAGTGCCACTGACTGTAGTGTCTTTAGGCCATTCCCAAAGGGGGGACATTTCTCGTTCAAGCACAGTAGAATTGTAAATGGGCTGATTCATCATGTCACGCTCGTAAGTGTGCCTGATCTGCAACAGGGAACTGCTGCTTTTTCTCTCCTAATCCTTACTATTGTCATTTTCCTCTACTTCTTTTGTATGTTTGTCACTCTCTTGTGAACTGCTATTTCTGGGTTGCCTTTATAGTCGAAGCAGACTTTGTGCTGTTGAAGCTGGAGAGGTGAGCAGAGTAAGTCTGATTCCTTGTAAGGACTTCTCTGTTGACACCCACCCCTTGGCGCTGATATGACCTTATGCAGTTGCGAGCACCGTAAAACCCTCTACTAAAAAAAAAAAAAAATTTAAAGAAGGGTGCTGATGTATTGATGAGTGGCACAGAAAGATATAGAAGTAGAAGGGGGAGGGACAGAAGAATGCTTTGCTAGATTCTTCTTGGTCTACTTCTTTTCTGTGCAGCTATTGCCTTAATGTTTCAGGTCCGAAGTGTGCTCATTATGAGTGGGTGGTTGGTGGGTGCTCGGGTGTGGTTTGCTTCTTCTTTCCTATCAAACATCTTTCAACCTTATTTCTCCTACTTCTTTTTTATGTTAGTTACTTTCTTGTAACACCTCAAATCTTCGGCATTTATATAACTAATTGTGTTGCAAGTGCAGTAAAACTCTTTACTAGAACACAAAACAAGCTCTTCATGAAGCTGACTTGCATATAAGTGCAGCTCGACTCTCCACAATCTCATGTGGGAGGTTGGCGGGTGCTCTGGTGTGGTTTGCTTCTTCTTTCCTATCAAACATCTATTGTCGTTATCTCCCCTCCTTCTTTTAAATTATGTTTTTTACTCTGTTGTAACACTTGTAATCTTCTGGCGCTCATATGACCTAGTGCAGTTGCAGGCGCCGTAAAACATCTACTAACGCAAAAACTACAATCTGGTCACAGGCTGGTCTATTTCATGATGGGATTGTTCTTCGTCATCTCCTACCCACTGGCCAAACTGCTGGACTGTTGCCTGGGCTCCGACCACGGCACCTTCTACCGGCGAGGCCAGCTCAAGGCTCTCATCGACATCCACGGTGAGGACTCACACGCTGACGGGCTTGGCTCACGCGACGAGGCACTCTCCCACGACGAAGTGGCTATCATAAAAGTGAGCAGGATAGTCCTCTGTGATTTTTGTTTTTCATCTTCTTTTTGTTTTTATTGAGGGTTTGTTTTTTGTTGTTGTTGTTGTTGTTGTTTTGATAGCTATTTACTTTTAAAATGTATTCTTATACTGTACTAGACACAGAATTTGTGGGGCTCTCGTGGCCTAGAGGTTAAGGTGTTGGCCTCTCATTAAAAGGTCCCAGGTTCGAATTCAGGTAGCGACCAAAAAATTTTCTTCTCTAAAATTGTCTCCTTTCACCTCCTTTCCTGCTCTCTACCATTGTTCTGTTGTCTGCTTTCATTTCCACTTTCTGCCCCCACCCCCTCGCCTCCTTTGCCCCTTCCTCTGGGCTCCTGACTCTTTCTGCAGCCTTTCTACTGCTACTCCTTGGCTCCTCCTTACTGCTGTCTTTCAGCCACACCCCTGATCTTCTGGTAGGAATGATCTACACCTAGCCTTCTTGGGCAAGGGCGAAAAATCTCGGAGGGCTCGTGTGCAAGTTGCGCACGTTAAAGATCCCTTGGTGGTCTAAAATCAATAAGAGTAGGCTTTGGCCGCCACCCGGGCAAAATTCAAAATTTTCCTACCAACTGAAAATATTAGGTGTGTTCCGCGAGCTCATATGACCTTATGCAGTTGCAAGCGCCGTAAAACACTTTACAAAAACAAACAAAAAACAGAACTTGTTATTTCTCCAGTGATAATCTCACACAGTGTTTAGCTGAGAGGTTGTATTCTGGATAGGAAGAAAAGATTTGCTCTCTTTTTAAACTGGATTCTGTCTTTCCATTATAAGGTTTGCAACAAATAATTCTCTGGATAACAAGTTTTAAAAGACAATGTATTTTTTTTTCAATAATTGTTAAAACTGAATTAAGTAAAATACGGTTTCCTCCTTCACAATGCAGGGCGCTCTGGACATGAAGAACAAGACTGCCAAAGATGCCATGATGCCCATAGGTAGGATCTTTATGCTTGACATGGAGGCCAAGCTTGACCATGAGACCATGACCAGGGTAAGTGACCATGAGACTATGACTAAAGTAGGTGACCATGAGATCATGACTAAGGTAGGTAGGTGGGTAGGTGACCATGGGACCATGACTAAGGTAGGTAGGTGACTGTGAGATCATGATTAAGGTAGATAGGTGACCATGAGATCATGATTAAGGTAGGTAGGTGACCATGAGATCATGATTAAGGTAGGTAGATAGGTGACCATGAGAACATGACTAAGGTAGGTAGATAGGTGACCATGAGAACAAGACTAAGGTAGGTAGATAGGTGACCATGAGAACATGACTAAGGTAGGTGACCATGACACCTTGATCTGGGTAGATGCTCATGAACTGCAGTTCTCCTTTTTTCTTGTGCCCAAGATAATAATAATTAATAGACTGAATTTATATAGTGCTCTATCCCGTACTAGTATAAGCTCTGAGTGCTTTACATCAATGACATAATCACTGAGCGATTCACACCAGATAAAATATTTCACTGTAACAAGAAAAACCATTTCAAACACCTAAAGAAGAACTTTTACAACCATGCATTAATTATATGCTCGTTAGGACAGCAGTAAAAACAAAACATCAGCACTTCCTGATACACTGGAACTAAGAGTTAAAATGAATGAGTTGAGTAATCGCTTAACACATATTAAGATTAGTTATTTCTCTGAGATCCTGGGGCAGGGAGTTCCAGATTTTAGAGCCAAAAAGTGAGAAACTTTTCTCACCAAAAGATCTCAATCTTTTCATTCTAAGGGCTCTAAATTTTGTTGTGTCTATGGAAGACCATCGGCAAACTGTTCCGCTGATCTAAGCCCAAAAAGTAAAACATTTCAAAAGAGAGAAAACATCGTTTCATTCTTTTATCTATTGTACCAGTACTCTAAATTTCCCACAGTGGAATAGGAGAGACTGGGAATTGCGAAACATTTATATCAGAAGCGAACACGTCCTGAAAACCAAATTCCAATGTACTTTTCTTTTACTTTGATTGTACTTTTTCATCTTCTGTTGCTCTTTAAGCTCCAAGGGGAGATGCGGTTTTTTATTGTAAGCCAACTCTTTAATTCTTTTCAGTTCGGGTGTTATTGTTTCTTAGGGTTCCCTTGACTCCCTCAAGCCATCTTTTGTGTAGCCGGCCTCTTCATTTATTTGTGTTAGGACGTGGTGGAATCAGGCTCTCGTCAATTTTTGGGCATGTAGAGTTATTGGTATCATCTTAAAGCTTGTTCATTTGTCTTTATTTGGAAGAAAAAAGTATCCATTTATCTTGAATACAAGTTGAGATATTTGCGAATGAAGGAGGTGCGGGTCACCTGTTTTCGGAGATAAAATTAGTGAGAAAATGGTTGCCAAAGATTAGTTATTTCCTTAGGTTCAGGGTCCGTGGTAACTGAAAATGTATATTTTTTGTGCCTTTAATCAATGTTTTTCAGGAAAATCCACACAGAAATGAATTCTTTAATGGGCATGAAAGGCGTGGAGCCAAAAAAAAAAATTTGATAAAAATTCACAAACCTGTGGAAAAATGCAAGTTTCTTCATGTTGATTATTTTGACGAGCGCCTGATTTCACCACGCTGCCTCACATTTATAGCCTGAGTATTTGGTGCTATAGACTCGAGGCAGGCTGGCTGGCTAGGTGATATTCAAAGCAGTTTTAGTGTACTCCCATTTTATTCTATATTCTTCTATGTTATTTCCACAAATAATTGTGGTGGCCAGCAATGGCATCCCTCCGGGATTATAAAGTATTATCTTATCTCCTGATCTTATCTCTTTGTGAAATTGTTCTGTACTGATGTGATGTTGTGAAATTATGTATGTATTTATGAATGTATTTATGTGTGAATCTATGTATGTATGTAGTTCTAAGTATGCATTTACATATTTATGTTTGCCATTGTAACCCAGATATCCCCTAAGGGATCTATTTAAAAAATGTAATTTATTTGTGTATTATTTATTTATTTTATTTTATTCCTTCCCTCCAGATTCTCCAGCGTGGACACTCTCGCATCCCTGTGTACGGATCTGACCCCAACAACATCATTGCTCTGCTGCTGACCAAGACTTTGATCAAGCTGGACCCGGATGACAGCGTGCCTGTGAGACAGTTGCTTGGAGATCAGAGTTATGCCCGCGCCACTCTGTTTGTGGAGTCTGACACGCCCCTGTTTGACCTGCTAAACCTGTTCCAGACTGGAAGAAGTAAGTTTTGGCTTTGATCAGTTCTGCTTGTTGTTGTGTTCTGACAGATTTGATGGTGTCGGTTTAGGCTTTTTGGTTGAGGGTTAAGTGTTTAGATTTTGGGGGTTGGGTTGTTAGTACTTGTACAAGCAAAAGTGTGCCAATGACCTAATTATATTTCTTGAGTCACATAAATTGGTACTATTTACAAATACAGTACCGACTTGAATTGTATAGTGGAACCTGATTATATTTCTTGAGTCACATAAATAGGTACTATGTACAAATACAGTACCGACTTGAATTGTATAGTGGAACCTGCTCTAATGGTCACCTGTATAAGACAATCACCTGTACAAACGGCCACTTCCCATTTCCTCCCTTGCATATTTTAACATTATAATGACACTGTGTAAGATGGTTACTTGTCTAAGACAGTTACTTTTCTCCTCAACAGTGTGTGGCTGTCTATCGAAATGCTTCTATCTTAACCATATTGTATAAGTACACTTACGACCTTAGAGCATGCATCAAAATAACATTGAGTGTGTATCTAGCTTACGATTATTATTGTTTATATTGCTGCTCATTTATATTATGCATGTGATTGTGAGCCTACGTGTGTGTGCATGTGTGTGTATGTGTGTGTGTGTGTGTGTGTGTGTGTGTGTGTGTGTGTGTGTGTACACGTGGTGAAACACCAAACCAATGTGCCAGGATCTGGACAAGAAAGATGTATATCTTATCTTATCTTATCTTATGGAGCCTGTCTTGTGCATCAACACGTTAAGTTCTTACCCCTGAAGAGACACAAGGGGATGTTATGTTATAGCGTGCAGAACTTCAATCACATACGTGCGTGCGTGTGTGTGCGTGTGTGTGTGTGCGTGTGCGTGCGTGCGTGGAGAAAGGTCCCAGTTGTCAGCAAAGCCATTTTTGAGCAACGGGGTGAAAGGCAAAAAGAAGCAGTACTTAGTAAAAAATTTAGTTCCGTCTGAAAACACACGTTAGACTATTTCTTAATAATATGTGTCACGACGTTGTAGAATCAGGCGCTCGTCAATTTTTGGGCATATGGAGTAGTTGGTTTCATCTAAAAGTTTGTTCATTTGTCTTAGTTTCGATGAAAAAAATACCCATTAATCCTGAATAAAATTTAAGATATTTACAATTGAAGGAGGTGGGGGTCGCCTGGTCTCAGAGGTAAAATTAGCGAGAAAATGGCTGCCAAACGTAGGTGACATCTAAAGCTTGAGAGTGCTAGGAAACTACAATATTACTTTTTTTTTGGTCTTTAGTCAACGTTTTTTTGTAAAATTCACAGAGAAATATGTTTTTAAATGGACATTAAAAATGTTGAGCCAAAAACCAAAAATTAAATTGCTGAAACGGCGGAAAAATGCCGTTTTCTTTGATTTCATTATTTTGATAAGCGTCTGATTCGACATCTGGGACTTCTTTTTTCCAGACACACACACATATAATCTCTTCACCAACGTCAACCTGTATTGTCTTACAACATGGCAGAATCAGGCACTTGTCAATATTTGGACTTACAAGTTATTGGTATTGTCCTAAACCTTGTTCATTCGTCTTGCCTGTTGTGAAAAGAATACTCATCTAATTTGAATAGAAGTTGAGATATTTGCGACTGAAGGAGGTGGGAATCCCTTGATGTTGTCAAAGGGAAAGCTAGTGAGAAAATGGCCGCCAAAGTTTGGTAACTTCCGAAGCTTGAGTGCCCTCGGAAACTGCAGATACTTTTTTTGTGATTTTCATCAAATGTTATGTGTCCATCATTAAAAAGCTGTACGGACACTGTTCTAGCCTGTATGATGCCTGTTCTCTTTATTCACAGGAAAATGAGAATGGGTTGTCACAGGGCACCACTGATAGGTCGTATTTCTTTTCTTTCCCTCCGTTGTTTTTGTCTGTCTGTCTCATTTCTTCCCTACACTACGAGGGGATACCAAAAGTTTTTTACCTGACCATGAAGGAATAAAGGTGGAAAGCTGATATTTGGGGTGAAAGCCAACAATCATCTTCCTGGAATGCTAGTAAATTTTGGGGAATTTCAGATTTCTGATTTTACCACCAGCGCACTGTAAGTGAATGGGGGTATTTTGTTCTCCAGATTCAACATAAAAATGGAGAAAATTGAGAACACTGCAGTAATGAAGTTTTTGTTCTTGCACGGCAAGCAACTACAGGATATTTTATGGAGATACATGCCGTCTATGGAACTGATTGCCCATCCTCTGCTGTGATAAAATTTTGGTGTAGAAAAAGTGATGACGAGGTCAAAGAAGCGGTAGCGATCTGGTTTTCTTACATAGAGAGTGTCCTCTCTTCTCAAGGTCTTTTCAAGGTCATACACAGATGGCTAACGTTTATAACTCTGGGAGGCGACTACATAAAGAAAGACTAAGCTTAGTACCAAATTTCAGCTTTCTACCTTTATCCCGGGGTGGTGCAACTGACTGAAGTGTCTTTAGGCCATTCCCAAAGGGGGGACATTTCTCATTCATGCACAGTAGAATTGTAATGGGCTGATTCATCAATGTCACGCTCATAACTGCGCCTGATCTACAACAGGGAACTGCTGCTTTTTCTTTCCTAGTCCTTACTATTATCATTTTTCCTCTACTTCTTTTGTATGTTTGTCACACTCTTGTGTCCCACTATTTCCGAGGTGCCTTGATAGTTGATGCAGACTTTGTGCTGTTGAAGCTAGAGAGGTGAGCAGAGTAAGTCTGATTCCCTGTCAGGACCTCTCTGTTGACATCCACCCCTCCTTGGCGCTCATATGACCTTATGCAGTTGCGAGTGCCGTAAAACCTCTTCTAAAATAAAAAAATAAAACCCAAAACAGTTACCTGATATCTAACTACAAACAGCTACAGTACAAATAAAACTTTGCGTTCCCCGTTCAGGTCACATGGCTGTTGTCAGGCAAGCAAAGAAAAAGGAGGTGGAGGCAAATGCCGAGGATGCTGATGGTGGTGATCAAGCTGAGTCATCTCCCTTGCTGGTCAACGTGTCGGGAGTGAGCATCGAGGAACCACAAAGCGATGTCGCCGAAGGGGTAAGCCAAGAGTTTGTTGTTACATGCTCTTGTTTTTTGGGGGTTTTTTAAAATGTTTTTTTTTATTGGGCTGACGTACATAAGGACATTGCTTCCAACTGTCTAGCAACTTTTTCTTCTTCTTCTTCTCAATAGCATCACACTTGAAGTCTGGTATCTGTCATAAATTGGGACGTCCTGCTCAGTTCATCTGTTGGCCTGTATAGCTTCTCTTGTAGCGTCAATGGGGTTGACCACGTTTCCTGTCTCAGGGCCCTGTGTGTCTTGCAGTGCTCTAGCAACTTGTCTTTGAATAAACCATTTGCTGAAACTACTGCCTGTAGATATTGTTATTAATGTGTAAACCGGTGGTTGGCTCATTTTTTTAGCGCACCCTCTGTATTTGCGGGTAACGAATCAGTGTTCAGCACTCACCATGCTGCTACTGTTAATTAATGGGCCTCTCTTCTGTTGCTGGCACATTGTTTCAGATTTCTCTCCCCCTCCTTCCCACCCTCTCCCTCCCTCTCCCTCCCTCTGCCTTTCTCACCCTCCTTCCCCACACCATCTTCTCCCTACCCC